TGGCCTTCGCAGCTATCTGTGGCATTGAGCTCCACAGATTCATCACCCTCTGAAAAAGCTCCTATCTCATTTCTGTTTTGAAGGGTAGACCCTTCACTCTGAGGCTGTGCCCTTTTGGTCCTAGTCTTCTGCTAGTGGACACGTCTCCATGTCCACTGTATCCAGGCGTCTCAGTATTCTGTAAGTTTCAATCAGAACCCCCACTCCATCGAGTACAGACCCAGATTCCTGAGCAACTCCTCATATAATAAGCCCTTCATTTCCAGGATTATTCTCGTAAACCTCCTCTCCAATGCTGTTGTGTCATTCCTTAGATACGGGGCCCTAAACTGCTCACATCTTTCCAAATGTAATCTGACCAAAGATTTATACTGCCTCAGCAATACATCTCTGTTCTTAAATTCTAACCCTTTTGAAATGAATGCTAACATTGTATTTTCCTCCTTGACTGTCAACCCAACCTGCATGTTAACCTTCAGAGAAAGCTGAACCTGGATGCCAGCTTCAGTTTTTGGACGCTTGTTCCCGATTTAAGTAATATTTTGCGCTTCTCTTCAAGAAGTATTAAAATATTATATTCAACTTTTAGTTATGTTTTTGCATATTTTATTAACCTTACTACAACCACCAGCTGCTGTGCTCTTTTGAATCTCAGCATAGAATAGAACTTAATAGATACTCATCAGTTAAGTAGCTTCTCTTGTAACAAAATGAGAATCAATTCCTTGAGGCTGAAAAAGTTTAGGCAAAAGCAACAGAACACCTTTTCTTTTTATTCCCTTGACACCCTGAAATACTTAACTCATGCAATCTTTTGAGTTGCACTCCAGTGTAAGCCGCGGTAAGCTGGTTAGTTATAGTGCTTCTCACAGTAATGGCCCATCAGACTCACTTGATGGTTCAGTTTTAACTGATTCTTATTAAATTGTTCTTTCATTGGAACCCTTCTTTAGATGTATTATCATAATTTTTTTAGTTATTTCATTTCTGATTTCAGCCAGACTTGTTTCTCTAGACCTAAACATGCTGTTTTCCAGGAGAGAGTTCTCCTACATTCATATTGTGTAACTAAATGGGCACATCCTGGTTTGTCCTTATGAACTTGTAGTACACTCATCCAAATTATGAATTGCTTTGATAATTCTTCTAATTGTTTTCCACATGTGAAAGCATGGTGTCTAACCTCCTTAGTTATTTTGTTAGCTAACCAGATAACAGTTGACAATGTCCAAACTGAACATGTCCTCTATCTCATTCTCTCACTATATCCCTTCCATCCTCCACTAAATCTTACTACCTAACATATATGTGCACTTGATTATCCTCCTCCTAGCGATTAGTCTTGCTTTGTTGTATTGATGTGATTTGGGCATTTATTTTGGATGACTTGGTGTGTCAAACAAATTTTACCAATCCTTTTGATTGCCCAATGTGACTTGTTCAACTATATTTTCAATGGTTCTGCCTGTAAAGGTAACAAGACTAATACTACCTCCTTAGTTGGAATGTTAAGGATTTAATATGTTTATCAGCTCACTACTTCTCCATAGTTGTTTGTGAAGCCCTTGGGTGTTCCAGTTACTATGTAGGCATGTGTTAGCTGTTCCCAAAACGCTGAAACATAACTTGCTACGAAAGGTTTGTCCTTCTATCATTTAAAAAAAAAACTTTCTTTGATTAGTTTCAGAGGAGCTCTCGTGTCCGCAAACTAATTCAAAAGGATCAAAATCAGTAGACTTGCTTGGTGACTCTTCAGTTGTAAATAACAGGAGTTTTAGTCCTTTGCCCTGCTCATGAGGTTATTCTTTAGTATGTTTTGATCGTGGTTTTAAGGGTTTGATGGTACATTGTTAAAGTTTCTTTGTGTCTATGGGTGATATACTGAAGACTTTAACTGTTCTTCACAGACTACTGATGACTTCCTGAAAAAAATTACATGTAATATTGGAAGATTGATCCAAATGGGTCTCTTGCTAATCAGTAGTGGGTAAAGAACTTGTTTATCATATTCTGTCTTTTGTGGTAATGTTTTTCAAAGACATGCCATTCAGGAATCGATTAACTATATTCATAACAGTAAGGAAAAGCTTGTGTTCTGCTTTTTTGTAAAGTCTCACACAGACCTCCTAACATGCTACTAAATTGTTTCATAAATACTGGCGTGGAATTGAAGGTGCCAGTTTGATTGCATGTTGTGCTTTTACCCATCAACTGGCAGGTTGACATTTTGTGCATACCTGCAATATGTCGTTGTGAAGACCAGACCAGTAAAAATGGTGACGTGTGTGCTTGGATCTTCCAGATTCCCCATGTGCTGAGCTGTGGGAATTTAATTGGCTATTGTTAATATTATTTGCAATATTAGGGCAGTGGTAATTTTTGGTGCACCACCACCATCCTCAAATTTATGAGCAGATCTTCACCAGAATCCCATTTTTTTCTTAATATAGTAATGTCCTAGAACACCCTTTGTTTCAGCTTCAATTTGATCCAGTTGGACTAAACTCTGTGCCTTGGCAAGTCAATTAAATCAGAGATGACTTATTGAACATTCCTTTCAGATTATCTAAACTCCTAGAATTTCGGACTATTAAGTACCTTTGTCAATTCGACATCCAATGATTTATACTTGTTTAACCATTCCTTGGGCCATTATTCATAAATGAAGGATTCCTGGAACCTTTTCCTGTGTCTGCTCGCTCTTGTTAACTTTATTTGGCCTTTCCATGTCTACAGGGAAAGCTACAGCCTTCAGTCTGGACATATTATTCCCCAGGTGTAGGTCAATTATATGTACAATCAATCTCAACAGATGCCATTCCAGATGTTCGGTCACATTCTAGGTGGATCAGATACAAATTTTCAGGTATGTATTTCCCCACCAATACCATTCACAGACATTAGCATTCATTTCACACGCTGGCGAAATGCCTTTCCTCAGTGAAACACCTTGGGTTACATGCCTCATTTGAGACGTACAACTTTACTTTTGACAAGCTCTCCTGGTAACTCGTGGGTATCTTGTTTACTTACCCTACAGTTAAAGAGTCTTCCAACTGCAGTCAGAGCTACAACTCAGTCTGTTGTAATCTGTCAGGGCGTTTTTCTTTATAAACCTTGGATTATCCTGCAACTTCCAGTAATCTGCATAAACATAGAAAATAGGAGCAGGAATAGGCCATTCGGCACCTTGAGCCTCCTTTGTCATGTAATATGATCGTGGCTGATCATCCAACTCTGTTCCTGCTTTCTTCCCATACCCTTTGATTCCTACGACCCAAAGAACTATATCTAACCCCTCCTTGAAAACAATCTTTTACTCTCAGTCACCTTCTGTGGTAGAGAATTCACCACTCTGGCTGAAGGAATCTCCTCATCTCATACAATCATACAGGACAGAAGGGGCCATTAAGTCTGCGCTGAGCTATCTACGCTAGTCCCACTTTCCACCACTTGGCCCATAACCTTGAATATATTGACATTTCAAGTGCTCAACCATGTACTTTTTAAATGCTGAGAGGTTTCCTAACTTTACTATCCTGTCATGCACTGAATTCCAGATTCTCACTGCCGTCTGGGTGGAAAAAGAATCTCCTTAAATTCCTGGCCTTCACCTTTGACATTATGTCCTCTGGCTATTGACCCTTCAACTAAGGGGAACAGTGCATCCTATCTAACTTGCCCATTTCCCTCATCTTATACAATGTAGTCAGCCCAGTTGAATTAGCATAGAATTTACATTGTCCTCCGTCCAGTTTCAAATGTTGTGCTATTATTCTTGTGCTTTATTTCTGTAAGTCACTTTACCAGTCACAGACCTGTGGAGATGCTCGGGATTAACTTTAGGTAGTATCCAAGCGTTGCTGAGAACTTCATGATTTTCCTTTTTGTTGTTAGAATGGGGAACTGTGCTACTACTTGTACCTTTGCAGCCCTTGTGATAGAGTAAACTTGCTCTTGCTGAGATTGACCACAAGATTGACTGACTGACTGTATTTTCTGTAAGCGTGTTTCCAGTTGCCCTGTGAGTTTGAGTTGTTGCCGTACACTCTGAAGTCACCTAGGCACACTTGGCAATTAAATAAGCCTTTAAAGGGTTGCTGGGCATTTGAGCCTGAACGGCATGATTTGACTTTGTAACTCTGGATGGATTCGAACAAAGGCAAAGATTTCCTCTGTGTAGGTGGTCAAGAGAACCGGCTAGCGTCCCTTGAATAAATCTACCTTGGTAATGTGGTCTGCTTTACCCATCTGATCTATGCAGTCTTCAAGCTGGAATATTGGTTGGCAGTCAGCTTTGGTCACTGCATTCAATTTTTGACATTTAATGGAGCCAGCTGGCGTGGGCAAAAGCTCAGTTGGGAGTTCCAGCTACTGCAGCTCTATTGGTTGGTGCTTCAGCATGAAGTTAGTTTCCTCCCCTACCTGTGAGCGCTTTCTTAGGTCTGATTGAAAGAAGTGTTGCCTTATGAGAGGGTCTCTCCACTTCACTTCATAAAACAACATCAGGTAATGGTAGGATGCTGCAGCCTAGACTGTGCATTATCTCATTAAATGCAATGAACAGCCTCATTAAGTCTGCTTGATATTTTACACATTAGTGTACTCTGTCGGCCACTGAATTGGCCTTTTAAGGGTTCACCTGGTATTGGTCAGAACATTAACATAATATAATTAGCAAGCATATCTTTGACTTCATTTGAGATTTGTAGATGACAGTGTCTATGGTTGTTGGCTCAGCAGTAAAGGAAGCTTGGGATACTTGGCCATCAGGAGGAATTGAAATCAATGAATTAGATCTTGGGTTGCCTTTCAGCTGCCTGTTATTTCAGTGATGCATCTTAAGAATGTGTTGTTGTCTTGCCTGTTATCTGCAGTCAAATTCTGAGTTGATGACCTGGGAAGAGACGATTGCCTAAAATAAGCCAGAAAAATATTTTGTATATTCAGAAAACATTTGGAATATTCTGTAATAAGTCATTTTTCTTCCTGCTTTTCAGACACACAGCGTGCTCTACTGCTTCTTGAAGACTACTGTTCAAAGCTGAAGAAACCAGAAGAAAAACAACTTAAAAGTGCTGTTGAAAGAATTATAAGTATCTTCAAAAGTGGCTTGTTTTTGGCACTACTAGGTATGTTTTAAAAAAAAAAGCAGAAGTGAAATTAGGATTGTTTTCATAATATGGAAGAGACTTTCATTTGATTTTATATTGATTTTATTGCTTTCATGTTTCTTGGTGTTTAAGAAATAAGTTGAAATTATTTTAAGCTGTTGAAAACAGGACTTAAAGCTGTAAATCTTACCGTGATGGAAGTATTACATGAAATGAAATATAATGGTATATTTTATCAAGCCCAAGTTAGATTGGGCCATTCACAGTGTAACTAACTACTTTCCTACAATACTATTCATAAATTATTAATAGTAATATCAACATTTCCCAAAAATAGGAATATATACCGTAATGGAAAGTTGTGGGAAATATCCTAAGTTTATTAACTTTCATTTTAACTTTTTATTAGATCACAATTTAAGAAAATTATTAAACAGTAATGCTTCAGAAGATATGGTGTCTACCTGACTTCTTTTGAAGTCTAAGATCTTTCTCGAATTTAAATAGCTTACTTTCAGAGATTGAGGACTCTGATTTAATAACAAGCACAAACTAGCTTTGTTTTCTTTCTATTTAATTTTAATATTGTGTTTTTTGGCAGCCGTAAAGTGAATATTTTTAACCTTTTGGTTGTAAAGAAATACACTTTGCACTTGATTATCTCTTGCATTTGTTTTGGTCTCACTGTTGTAAATGTCAAGTATTGATTTCACTTAACTTAGTTTCTACGTGTGGTATTTGTCTATAATGTGAGTAGAAGGTTTGTGAAAAGCATTAACCGTGATGACAAAGGGTCAGTATTTAAACTACTTTGGGCACAGTTTGAATGGTTGATGCCATGGAAATGTTATACCAGTTGTACTATTTGTAGTTTTTTGTACAAAAAATTGTTGCATTGTCAAGTACTGGGTGTTTGCACAGTTGTCTTTGAGCTGTACATGGCACAATACATGACTTGCTGTTTTCTATAAACATTTATTGTGATGATGCTATGACTTAGACGTGCATTTTGTCCTAGCTATTTTATGAAGAATGGTTGAGATAGAAGTGATGAGCAGTCTGCTCAAAGCCAATGAAGCTTGTGAAACCTTGTGTTTTTTAAGTTTGAACAACAGATGCAGCCTGAATGGGTGGGGTCAAGCTCCTGCAGAACCAGGATTTTTAGTTTCAGCTTTTTGCAGTTGCTGGCGTCTTGAAGCTGGATGTTGGAAGCTCTTTATTCCTCTCTGTTGCAGCTAAAAACTGGGATTTTCTTCCTGCTGCTGGAATTGTGTGTGAAACAATCTGTTTTACTGAATTTGCCTTTGCCAAGGCTGTGTTTATGGAATGTTACTATATTTGAACAGTTAATTAGTCATAGATATTATAATTGTAAGCATTTTGCTAGAGTTACAGTTAAACCAATCTTTTTATTTTGTCTATTTTTTTTAACTGTAGTGTCAAATAGTGTGTTTTGCTTAAAGTCAAGCAGTTTGACTAATTGAACTTCATCTGCAATCCAATGCCTTACACTTACCTTTTAAAATAAGAAAAGCTTAGAGTCTGGGCTGCCTTCTTAAAATACTTTGAGGGGGTTTGGTCTGGTCAATAACATTGACAGTTTTAATTTGAGTAACTTGTCAATGAATGGGATGCTGAATATCTACAATGTGTTGGCAGCCGCTGAACCATCGTATTTTGTTGCAAATACGAAGTGCTGGAAATATTCAGCAGGTTAGGTTAGGAAAGCAGAACTGAGTTAATGTTTCACGTTTGTAACATCTCATTAGAACTGGGGAAGAGTTGGAGATGAAACTTTGGCTTTAGCAAGGAATAGATGAGACGCAGACAAAACTCCAAATCCAGAAGTTTTGAGGGTGGAAAGGCAATAGTTTGTACATCAAGTAGTACTATGTGGTCTGCAACAGATCTACAGTCTTGTAAGTCACAGATATCAATGGGTTGTGTTGTAGAGCAGAGGGACCTAGGGGTTTGGATACATTTTTTTTTTTGAAGTTTGTATCACACATGACAGGGTGGTTAAAAAGGTGTTTAGCATGCTGGCCTTCAATGCTCGGCCCTTTTGAGTATACGAGTTGGGAAGTCGTGTTGAGATTGTACAGAACTTTTGAGGCCTCTTCTGGGCTACTGTTCTAATTCTGGTCGCCGAGTTCCCGGAAAAGATATTATTAAGCTGGAGAGGGCTCAGAAGAGATTTCAGGATATTGCTGGGGTGTGGAAGGTTTGAGCCTTTTTTAAAAAAAAAAGGCTGGAGCTTTTTTCACTGGAGCGTTGGAGATTGAGAGGTGACCTTAGAAGTTAATAAAATCATGAAGGGTATAGATAGGGTTAATGGTAGGTGTCTTTTCCCTAGGATCAGGGATTTTCAAGACAACAGGGTGCGTTTTTAAGGTGAGGAGAAAGATTTTTTAAAAATTACATGGGCAATTTTTTTTTCTTTACAGAGGGTTGTTCATTTGTGGAATGAATTTGGATAAATACATGAATAGGAAAGGTTTGGAGGGATATGGGCCAGGCCAGGCAGGTGGGAATGGTTTAGTTTGGGATTGTTTGGCATAGACTGGTTGAAACGAAGGGCCTGTTTCCATGATATGACTCTGACTAAGATAGACATAAAATCTCATGGAAACAGAGAGCAACCATGGGACTTATGAAATTAGTATTATTGCTGACAAACAGCCCATTCTGTTGAAGCTTTCTGACTTGTACTCATCCAGATGACATGCAAGAATACCAATTTAAGGAGAACTAGAATGCCTTTCTTTGTCTGTTCCCATTTTTGCTTAGTCATCAGCAACCCCTGCATTTTCTTGGTGCATCACAATTTGATTTCAACTTTTAGAAGACAGACAGTCATTCAATGTTACCTCTCATCCATCTTATCTCAGACCTTCCTTTTGAGAAGCATGGGAACAAGGTTGGCCATTCAGTTAGATTATGATTGGTCATCTATCTCAATGCCATTCAAGATACTTGCATGTCCCCTGATGTCAGTAGTGTCTATTATTAATTTCTTTGAACATGTTCAGTGATTAAACTTCCACAGTCCCCTAGAGTAGAGAATCCAAAGACTCACCACCCTCTGAGTGAAGAAATTCCTCCTCTTGCTCTTAATGGCCTTATTCTGAGATTTCTTTTGTTCTAGTTTCACCAGCCAAGGGAAACATCCCGTTGACATTCATTCTGTAACACCCCATGAGAAATTTTCAATGCTATCACCTCTCACAATTCAAACTCCAGTGAATGCAGACCGAGTCAACTCGATCTCTCCTTGTACAACAAATATGTGATCCCAGGAATCAGTCTGGTGAGCCTTTTGCTGAACTCCCTTTATGGCAAGTATATGTTTTCTTGCGTAAGGAGACCAACACTACTTGGTACTCGGGTGGTCTTACCATGCCCTGTATGTTAGTAAGATCTCTTTGCTCCTGTACTCAAGCAGTCTTGAAATGAAGGCTAACATACAATTTGCCTTCCTAACTACTTGCTGCACCTTCATGCTTGCTTTGAATGACAGTGCTCTCGTGCACTCTGTCCTTCTTAACAACAACCTTCCCTAGTCTATCACGGTTTTAACAATACTGACTCTCTTTTTTTTCCCTTCCTGAAACTTCATATGTATACGTGTTATTGCATCTGCCATGAATTTGTCCACTCCCTCTCAACTTGTCTACATTGTTGTGAGGGATCCTCACTATGCTCAATGTTATTGGCAAACTTGGAAATGTTACCTTTGATTCCTTCATTTAATGTATATTATTAAGAGATGGGGCCTAAAGACTGATCCCTTCCCCACCCTAGTTGTCGCTGCTTTCCATTGGTATTAGGGAAAATACTAGAGTCCATTGGAAAAGATTTAATAACAGATCATCTGGAAACAGTGAAACGTGGAAATATGAAATGGAAATCATGCTTGATCAATCTACTGGAATTTGTCAAGGAAGTAATAGAAGTGTTGATGAGGAAATATGTTGATGATTATATATTAATGAATATACTTGGACTTCCAGAAGGCTTTTGATAAAGTCCCGCAAGAGATTAGCATGGAAATTTAAAATGCATGGAATTGGGGATAGTATACTGACATGGATAGAGAAATGGTTGGCAGACAGGAAGCAGTAAAAATAGGTTTTTTTTTTTGGGCAGCCAGTGACCAGTGTGATGCTGCAGGTAACAGTGCTTGCACCCCAGGTATTTACAATCCATATTACATTTAGCTCCCTCATCTAAACCATTAATGTCTCCAAGTTTGCAGATGACACAAAGCTGTGTGAGAGGTTGAACTGTGAGGAGGATGCAGTGATGCTTTAATGTGACTTGGATAATTTGAGTGAATAGGCAAATAGATGGCAAATGAAGTTTAATGTGATTGGATAGGACTATATTCACGGTAGTTTAGAAGAAAGAAGGGTATTCCACTGAAACCAATAACTTTCTAACAGAATTAAACAGGGTAAACTCAGAAACCAATGATGTTCCTAATGACTGGGTAGTCCGTAACTGGGGATCACAGTTAAAGAGGTAGGCTGTTCAGGATTGAGATGAGCAGAAATTTCTTCACCCAGTGAGTAGTGAGCCTTTGGAATTCTCTACCACAGAAGGAAGTTGAGGCCAAAATATTGAATGTTTTCACGACTGGTTAGATATAGTTCTTAGCGATCAAAGAGTGTGGTGAGAAAGTGGGACTAGGGTTTGGAGTTAGATGATGAGCCATGATGATATTAAATGGCAAAACAAGTTCAAGGGGCTAAATGACCTTGCTGCTCCTTTTTTCTATGCTCCTATCCTATGTCCTTTAATTTTGCATAATAATCTCAAGTGGGACTGTATTAAAATCTTTGGGAATATCAGATACACTGTTTTCCTATCTTATTCTTTTTACTAGTTATATTTTCAAAATAAACTGCAAGCAGTAAGCATTGACCATGCCCATGTCTCAAAGTTTTGAATCATTTATTTTTCAGGCTAGTTTGGTAATATATCAAATTGTCGCTTAGAATTGGTAAACGTACAGTAGA